GGCGTCGCCGCGCGGCGAGGCGGCCGCGGCCGCCGCGCGCGAGGAGGCGATCGACGGCGAGGCGCTCCGGTCCATGGGCGAAGATGAGCTGCGCGACGTACTCTTCGGCGGCGGCGACGCGCCCGGCCCGCGGCTCGCGGCGCGGAAGCTCGCGCTCCGGCTCCAGGCGTCCGGCCCGCCGCGCGCCTGGCCGTCGGCGGCGGCGCTCGGCGAGGGCCTCAACGCCTGGGGCGAGGCGCTCAACCTCCCGCTCGACTGCGACGGTGAGGTGCTCGCGTCGCTCGACGACGACGAGCTCGACGCCCTCCTGGGCGTCGACGACGACGAGGTCCCGGGCGCCGCGAAGGACGCGCTCCGCGCCGCGCGGAACCTCTGCCGCCGCGCGGTGCCGGGCTTCGACGACGCGCTGCCCCCGAAGCCCGAGACGCTCCACGAGGTCGTCGTCGTCGGCTCCACGGGCGCGGGCAAGTCGTCGCTGCTCAACGCGCTCGTCGGCGAGGCCGAGGTCCTGCCGACGAACTGCATGCGCGCCTGCACGGCGTCCGTCGTCGCGCTCGAGTGCCTCTACGCCGCGCCGCGCGGCGCGCAGTACGAGGTCGAGGTCGCGTTCCTGAGCCGCGACGAGTGGGCCGCGGCGCTCGCGCCCCTCGCGGCGCACCGCGAACAACACGGCGCCGCGGTTCCGCCGGCGGACTCGGCCGCGGGCGCCGCGCGCGCGGCCGCGGTCGCGACGCACGGCGCGGACGCGGCGTGGCCGGCGCCCCTCGAGCACGAGCGGCTGGGGACCATGATCTGCTTCGGCGCGAAAGACGCGGACGAACTCCGGGACAAGCTGGACCCCTACGTCGACTCGGCGAACGACGCGTCCGCGCTCCAGCTCTGGCCTTTAGTACGCCGCGTCACCGTGCGCGGGCCCTGGGCGTGCCTCGGCGGCCTGCGCCTCGTCGACGCGCCCGGCGTCTTGGACGACAACGAGGCGCGGTCGCGCGCGGTCCGCGGCGCGCTCGCGACGGCGGACGCGGTGCTCTTCGCGTCGAACGTGCGGCGCGCGGTCAACGACAAGTCCATCTCCGACGCGCTGCCCCTGTCCCTGCGCCGCGACCTCGCGGCAAACGGGGCCCTCGGCGCCGTCGCCCTCGTCGCGACGCAGAACGATCTCGTGAACCGGTCGGAGATCGTCGAGAGCCTCCGGCTCCCCGAGGCGACGACGCGCCTCGACGCGGCCAAGGCGCGCGCGGCCTTCTCGCGGGCCCGCGCGGCGGAGACCTTCTGGGAGGGCGTGCCCTGGCGCGAGCTGCCGGTGAATTCCGGCGGGGCCTTCGACTTTCCCGTCTTTGTTTGTAGCGCGGTCGACTGTCAGAAACTGGAGAATGTAAAGACGGGAGACGGGCCGCCGTCGACCTTCGAATCCGCGGCGGACACGGACGTGCCCCAACTCCGCGCATTTCTTGCGCGCGTCGCCGCGGGCGCCCGCGGCGCAAAAAAGCCCGGCGCCCTCGTCCTCGAGGCTCTCGCGCGGACCGACGCGTGCGCGCCGCCGGACGGCGAGCCCGACCCGAAGCGCGCGCGGCTCACGCTCGCCGAGGGCCGCGGCCGCCCGGCCGCGCTTCTCGTCGAAGACTCCAACGGCGCGCCGGCGCACGCGGTCGCCAAAAAGCCGGCCTCTCGGATGATACCTCGCCAAAAAGGCCTGACGCCTCACCAAGGCCTGTTTGCCGAGGGCGGCGCGCGGCCCGCGGCGGACTACGCGGCGGACAAGCCGCTCAAAGGCTTCATGCTCTTCTCCAAGGAGATGCGGCCCAAGGTCAAGCGCGAGTTCCCCGGCCTCTCGTTCGGCGAGCTCGGCGCGAAGCTCGGCGAGCTCTGGCGAGGCCTTGAGTCCGCTGCGAAGGCGAGCTACACGGCCGGCACGGTTCCTGCGGCTGCCCCAGCTCCGCCGCCGGCTCCTGCGCCGGCTCCGCGGCCCGCCGCGCGGCGGCCGCCGCCGCGGCCGATCTCCGAGGACGACGACATCATCGACCTGACGTGAGAGAGATCATTGTTCGTTTTCGCCCGCAAACCGCACGCGGCCGCGCCTCCGCTCGCCCACGTGACTAGCGCCATGGGAAATTGGGAAGCTTAAGCGCTTTAGTTCAACATTAGAAGCAAGCCCTGCAGCATCTACCTCTCCAACGCCAGCGCGAAGCACGATGAGGCAGCCCTAATCCGCCGTCATGCTGTCGGACCTCGCGGACCTCATCGAGGAGGGCCACCTGGACCAGCGCGCGAGCGTGCGGTCGAAGACGAGCGCGAACCTCGCGGGTCGGCGGCGGAGCTCGCAGCTCGGGCGCGACGACCTGTCGACGGGCAGCGAGGCGCCGACGAACCGGCGCAGCGTCGTCCGGCAGGCGCCCGAGCCCGCGGGCCGCAAGGCGCTGCGCAACATCCGCAAGGCGTCGCGGTCCTACGAGCACGTCGCGGCGAGCAGCCGGGGCGCC